CGGGCTTGCCGCCACGAGGGCTGCGCGTGGCGGTGCCGTTGAGGTGGGAGCTGGCAGTGGAAATGAGTGTTGCCGTTCTAGCGCTGCCTCTCCCTGGCTGCTGTGAAACGACGATTAAGCAGCCGCGAGCAGGCAGAGCTTATATAAAGATAAACATTTTAAGCCGCTCCTTAGAGAGAGGCCAAGAGGCAAGGCAGAAATTGCGTAGCGTCCGTTCATGGCGCCGGGCTGCCTGTCGGTCTTGCTCTGCGTTAAGGGTTTCTCTTAACAACCCTGAGTACAGCAGCAGTTTTTGCCAGCCCTACGCTGCCCGCGGCCCCATGGGATAGGGTGAAATTGGGACGCCGAGTCAGTCCCTTGGGTAGTGTTGATTTATAGTGTGGCTTTTGCTGCTGCTTTGCGGTGGGCCACGTTGAGCTGGCAGGGAAGGGCACGGGGTGCGGGGCGAGGGCCCATGTGCATGTGGGACCGGCCGCCACTCGCCGCGTGTCGCTCGCGCCTCACTCCGCAGCGCTGGGGCGGCTGGGCACCGCTCAGCCTTGGCCGGTGACTGCAGCCCCGGGGCTGCGCAGGGCTCCAAGGCGCTGCCGTCACTCCCCGTGTCCCGCGGGGCCTACGCGCCTCCCACACGCTGCATGTCTTGTGCCTCGGCTCCGTGTCTTTGACGTGCCATGTAACACTCGTGGACGATGCTCACATCTCAGCCAAGATAGATACACAGTGGCAGATCACCCTGTCTGCTCGTCGTCAGTCACATCATGTTACTTAACCCAGTATCTTCCATCCCTGGTCATTTTTTCTCCATGTGACACTACAACAAAATTTCCTGGCTGCATCGTCCCACCACTCCCTTTGTTTCTCCTCGGTCCAACCATGCCAGAGCTTCTCCTTTCCATTGTTTGGTTTATAACCTCTACCATCATTTGCACTCTGGTTTTAAGACTGTTTTTTATTCAGCTCTTATCCTCTCCAGTGTCTTCTCATGTCTATAGGTTGACAACCTCAGCTGATTTGCTTGTATGAATGTAAAGTAGATAGAGAAGTCTGGGTGTTCTGGTTACTCCCACAGTCCATCCCATGGGTATAACAAGCATGCAAAGCAATGCAGGACGTCTAGGTGTGCAAAGAGCAAAGCCCTTAACTATTAGAAGCAATTACTAACCTAGTGCCAGGGTGAAAATTCGCAAGCGCAGTTTGTTTCTGATTGCAGCAGCAGGCTACCAATCCTGGACAGTGGAAAGTTGGAGAAATAATATTTCAGTTTTCTTCTATTTCTGTAAATGTCATCCTTAATGTGAGTGCCACTGGTTCCTGTAACTCAGATCCAAGCAGCTGGCAGTCAGGAGTGATGTTCTGAAGGTTGAAATTTTTAGGTAAGCTTCATCTTTAAGCCATGTGGAGGTCATAACTAGTGCTGCAGTTGTTATTCTCCAGCTAGGAGGTCTTTCCTATGTGTCAGTGTGAACGCTGCAGCAGACAAAAGTGGGCAGAGGTGGGTTTTCACCTCCCTTGCAAATGCAGCATTGGGCACTTTCATGCCGGGTCAGCACTTAGTGCAGTGTGAGTGCGTTTTACTCACCTACCATTCAAATATATTTTTCAGCTCTTTTCTTTTCTAGCGCGAGGAGTGTTAGCAAATGGAAGTTTGTCAGCTACTTCAGCTCATCCCAAACCTCCTCTCATTCTCTCCATGTCTGTTCCATAAATCATGGACATACACGCAGATATGTGGAGTCCCCACACAGAAATGTTTGCTCCTTGCATGTGACATGACAGACGCTTAGTTTAGTCTTATTTTTTTGGAATTCTCTGCAGATCCGAAACCTGCTTCTAATACGAGTCTCTAACTACTTTTTTGCTCTCTTGGCTGCAAAGGAACTACCTTGTTCTGCACTAGCTCCGTCCCTCGAACCCTGCTTCTCCCGGCCGGAGAGACCAGCAAACCGGCGCCCGCCGTCCCGATGGGCCTCACATTCCCCCACGGCCTCCCAGTCGCAGTCCAC